ATAAATTCATCTATTAAAATCTAGACATAACTCCCCTAATTAAAAATATAAAAATAGAAATAATTTTAACAACATTCAAACACACCTTGGTTTTGAATCTTTATAATATACAATAATGTAATTATTATTCTTAGAGGAATTTGGCCAAAACCCTGTCATAATAAAATTTTAATGCATTAAGAATATGCACAATTTTTTTTTTTTTGAGAAGTCTAACAAATATCACTATTATCAAAATATTAAACTTTAAAATAATATAACTTTTGAAATAGATGTCGGTTTTTAATAAAATTAATCAATGTGTTTGGTTTTAATTTTTTGAATTCAGTTTTTTGAAAACTGAGTATTTTATTTTTCGTGTTTTTATTTTTATTTTTGGTGAATATTTTTTAAATTTTAAGCAACTTTATTACTTATTTAGATGCACTTTACTTAGATGTATCTAAATAGTAAAATATTTGTGAAAATTATATTAAAAAATTAATAAATACACAAAAATACAAAAAATGTACTGAATTTTTATATTTTTTTCCCTATTTTTTGGTATTTAGTATAATTTTTAAATATTTTTTCACAAATATTATACTTTTTAAGTGTATTTATATTAGGTGTGTCTAAAATTTTAAAAAAAAATTCTTAAAATATTAAAAAAAATTCCTTAAAACCATTAAAATACGGAAAATAAGAAAGTAGAATTTTCTGAAAACTATTTTCTTAAAACCAGAACTAAACAAGCTGAATATTTTTAGAATTCTCTCATCGATATCTATCAAATAAGATCTATATTGACTATAACTTCTTTAAATAAAAAAAATTATTACCGTTGAAATTGATGTAAATAATAATAGTAACATGTTACTGTGTTCGACAGTAACATGTTATTCTAGCAATATTGTTCCAGAAAGAAAAAAAATATATTTTATTTTGCCCTTATTAAATTATATGTTTTTTCCTTAAAGGTTTATAATGAAAAATAAATTCAACTGTCATTTTCACCAAACAAGATTTCAATAGAAGAGTTTTGACTAAGGTCTCGTTTGGAAATATGTTTTTTTAGTAACTTTTTGATTTTCTAGCTAAAATATGATATAAAAAAAATTAGTATGTTTAGGATGACTTTTAAATTTTTTACGAAAAGACGTACAAAAAATAAAAAAATAAAATCTTTAATTTTTTAATATAAATTATTAACTACTTAATTTTTTTAATAACTTTTTAATTTTTAAACTAAAAAATAATGTTATCAAACAACGCCTAAGGCCAAGTTTGGCATCCTCAAAAAAATTCAAAAAGTCACTATCCTATTTAAGGTGTCGTTTGGGAAGAGCTCATTTGGGCTCTTTTGGCTCTTTGAGCCACAAAAGACAGAATAGGTTATTTGAGCCACAACAGACAAAATATCGCATCCAACCCATAATCATTACACTCTTCTCTCACAAAAAAAGTCAAAAAAGCCAAAAAGTCAAAAAGTCCTTCCCAAACCAAGCTTTTGAGCCCAGACTCAAATAGCCAAAAAAGTCAAAAAGTTAAAAAGCCAACCCACTTCCCAAACGGAGGCTAAGTCACATTATCTTATTTAAATCGCATCACCTCTCTAACACATCACTTCAAACCTAACCCAAATCCAACTCATATTTCATAAAAAGTCAAAAAATACACTTATTTAGTCTTTCTAAACTTAGGATTGGTTTGGGATGTTCTAAAAAAGTGTACTTTTTGACTTATTGGCTTATATGGGTTGGGTTTGGGTTGGGTTTGATGTGATGTGTTAGAGAGGTGATGTGATTTAAATAAGATAATGTGACTTAAATAGGATAGTGACTTTTTGACTTTTTTGACTTTTTTAGGTTATGCCAAACCAACCCTTAGCCTAAATTTCCCTCATTCTTATGGAGAGGGGAAGATTCCCATGTGTCTTGACACCAGCCAAAAGGGATATTCACAAGGTGGATATGGTGGGAATATCATGACACGTATAACAAAGAAAAGAATCTCTGCCATGCACATACACATATAGGGAGAGAAAGAAAGAAAGAGAGAGATACACAGAATTACAAGGAGGGAGAGAGAGAGAGAGAGAGAGAAAAGTGAGGGTTGGAGTCTTGTACGAGAAGACTGATTTGGAAAGTGAGCAACCAACCCCTTCATCATTTCAGTCCCATGCAACCCCACCACTGCTCTCTTTCACTCTCTGCCAAAGCCAAAAGAGAATCCGATGCACTCTCTCTCTCTCTCTCTCTCATGCAAAAAGTTTTATCTTACAACTATTAATACAGTTGTTGAGTCCATGTGGGTTGGATTGTGTTAACATTACTCATTGAGTTCCAACTCATTAACAAGAATTCACTGTCCATTATACATTGTAAAGGTATAATTTGATATATTAAGCATAAAATATAATGTGATTCGGACATATTTTAATTTTTTTTTTATTGGAATCACATTTAGGAAAAATTGCAAATCAGTATGTTTCCAAAAATAATTTCAAATTAGGGATAAAATTTATCAATTCTAATAATTAAAGTGATAATTTTTTTTATAAATTTAGAAATATTTTATTAAGTCATCACGGATTTGTAATTTTCCTTTTATGTTATTGGATCAAAACTCTCTTAGATTGGCAAATGAACTTACCTTTTATATGTTGTAGACAAATGTAATAACGACACATTGTATGGAATATAAAATTTAACACTATCATAATAACTTCTCTCTTTTTAGAAATTCTATGTCTGTACCTATCCGGTGGGAACAATAGAAAGAGTAAAAAAGCCACAATAATGAAGTAATTATAGTAACTTTATCAATAACTATCACATTCCTTAAAACTTCATTGGTTGGACATACTACATCAGCATGATGACGTGGCGTATCTGACCTATTGAATAATTTCTCATTAAGAGATGATGCAATAATTTATATAAAGCTCTTCACCAAATATTATTGTCCGTATTTGATTTCATTATTAAAATTTGTTTTCAATTTTTTTCTTCATAAAACTAGAAATTAATTTGATGAAAATAAACGCCAAAAAATAATTTTAAATTTTAAAAATTATTTTCGCCCAAAAAAAGAGAATACCCAAATAAAAATGATGAATGTTATTTATTTTTTTTAATTTTTCAGGCCAAACTAATTTTCAGTTTAAGAAAAAAAAATAAAATCAAACCAAACATGTGATTCTATTGAAGCACATAATTGCATATATGTATAAATGTTGAACCTAAGCGAGATGCAATGGTAGGTGATTCTTGAGTCAAACAGGTTGAGCTATGAAGATCCTAACCCGAATCTAGAACTTTCTTTAAGCTTCAAAACCCTAGTAATAAATAAAATCTTCAAAAACAATAAAAAAATGTAGAGAGAATCTTCCTACCTTCCTAGCCACTTCACTAAAGGTAGTAGCAGAAGAAGATTCCCACCTGTTTGGCTCCTGAATTATTCTTTTGAGGATAGTTTTTTTTTTTTTTTTTTTTTTCAACCCCTCTCTCTTTCTCTCTAAGCTTTGTGGGTTGTGTTACCTTAATTTAGAGTCGTAGAATTGGAACCTAGATATTCCTTCCTTGGGGCCAAATATTATATTCTTTGTAATTAAAGAATGTTTTGGTTTTGGATTAATTGTACTTTTATTCTGAAATTATTAATTTTACTTTTATTCCCAAATTATCGTTATTTTTTAAATTTCATTAGTAAATTATCAAATTTAACTATTTAATTTTTAAATTTCTTAATATGGTCTAATTCGATTCAGTGGTTCAAATCAATAACCATTAAAACATAATTTGATAGGTAAAAAAGTCATTTCAAAATTAGTTATTTGGAAAAATTGTGTCCAATTGGATCATATGGATTAAAATTAGAAATTTTGGGTATTTAGACGAAATTGTTAGATAATTTAGGGATAAAATAGGAAAAGTGATAATAGTTTAGAAGATAAGAGTAAAATTAACTCTTCAATTTTAGATTAACAACAAAGATACGTGCACCTAATTTATACGAAAAAAATATTCATAAATATAAGGGTAAATTATCAATAGGTCCTAAAATTTAGACTTAATTCTCATCAAGTACTATTAAAAATAAGTTCTAGTAAAATCGTGGCAAAAAATAATTTTTTGTAATGATTTTTCGTATATGTCGTTAAAAATTGACAATTAGTAAATTTTTTTTGTCACTCTATTTTATAAATTGCTGCTAAAACTTACAATTAATGATGTTTTTCTGTGACTAATTTTTGAAACTATCGATGAAACTTAAAAAATTAGTCATTTTTTTGTGACGATTTTTTAAATCGTCGCTAAAACTTATAATTAGTAATATTTTTTGAAACAAAATTTTTTAAATGTTGCTAAAAATTAACAATTAGTAATTTTTTAATCATGATTTTTATAAATTTTCACTAAAATTTAAAATTAATGACTTTTTCTCGACAAACATTTTAAATTGGGGGGGAGTGGGGGTCTCTATTATGCTTGAATTCGTATTGAGTTGTTTAGGTTCATGAAATCTAAATTTTGTGTCTTCATCTTCTGATACTTTGTTACATTGTATATTTATCACAGACAAATAGAGTAAATTTTACTATATATTAGAATAAAATTTTACTATCTTTCCATTACATGTAGTTTATTTATTTATTTTTTTATCTTTTTATTTTGTCGTGTTTGTGTTGTTTTGTGTGGATATTGGATGTTTTTCTCTGATAACTTTATCCTACAAAGCTGTATGTTTTGCCCTTGATGGCCTCTTGCCAACTTTTTTGATTTCTACTGTTTTTTTTTTTTTTTTCAAACAAACAAGACAAAAATACCAGAACCTCACCTCTGCTCCGCAAGAGGATATCCATGGCTGGTTGTATAAAGCTTCGGTATTTACCATTCTACCCTAATTTTAACTCATATGCTTCATGTTTTCTAGGTTTACACCAAAAACTACAAAATTCCCTTTCATTTTCCCCAATTGTCTCATCAACCAAACAGAAGAAAAGAAATACCAGAATCTCACCTTCGCTCCGCAACAAGAACTCTTCGCCTGCTACGCAAAACTTCGACATTGAGCTTCCTAATATCCTCACTGATTTCTGGTAATTTGTGTTTGAGGAAGGTTCGAGAGGAGAGGTTGATTTGGGAGAACCAAGCATCGAAGACTGCGTTGCAGAGAGGACAGTTTCGCTTCAAATCGCTCCATCTGCGAATGCAATCGACGCAATAGGCATGGACTCTGGCTGTGATCACCGCTGCTCTGCGATGGTCGATGTGATTCAAGCATATCGGACACGATTTGCCTCGAATTGCTGGTTCGATTCGCTTCGATAGAAATCTTTGAGGACTGGTTGTAGATGTATGCGTATGTAGCAGCGATCTTCGTGAAGACGAAGACGAAGACTCCATTGATTGACACTATGTTTTGGATTGAGTGATTTGGAAATGAAAAATGAAACGAAACGAAGAGATATGTATTTTTTTTAAGGGCAAATTACAAACACCCTCGAAATTTGGTAAAAATACAAATTTCTCTGAAGTTTGAGAAATTACAAATTGCTCCCTGAGAGTCAAATTTTCATAACAAATTAGGAAAAATTATGGGAGAATCTGTATGAAAATAAAAACTTCAAGGGGCAATTTGTTATGAAAATATAAACTTGAGGGGGCAGGATGTAATTTCTCAAACTTCAGGAGGAAATCTGTATTTTCATCAAATCTTGAGGGAGGTGTTTGTAATTTGCCCTTATATTTTTAATGAAATTTTTTTACCAATAAAATTAAAAAAAAAATTGCTGCTGGATTAAATATTCTCTTTTCTCTCATTGCACTCCATTGTGGAACAATTATGCTACTTTTGAAACCAAAAAGCAAGTTGCATGGTGGATTGACACTAAACACCATAAGGTGGTAAAAATAATGTATATGTGGTATATGCTCCTTTTAAAGCCTTTAGTTTTAATTAATCATCATAGAATCATTAATTCATATTTTGAAGATGATGCTATACTTGGGTAAGGACGCCCTCAAGTACTACTATGCCGTACACGTGTCAACTTGGATGTCGCCAATGGAGAGGATCTCACTTAAACTTCATTTACTAGTCATAGTTAGGAGTGTGCATAATACTGTCGAAACAGTCAAAATCGCACCGAATCGCACTGTCAAGATAAATTTGTTATTATTTGCCAATCAAATCGCCGATTTTTGGTAAGAAAAATGGCAAATTCTAGTGACACTTTTATCAATCCGCCGGTTTCTATTTTTCTTCTACACCGCACCGACCCGCACTGCTATTAAATCATGTTTTATAAGATTCTAAAAATTCTTTTTTACTTAAGCTTGCTTGTTGTTCTATACCTTAGAATATAGTATTACATTACTGCTCGAGGGGAATTCAAGATGTCAGTAATCTAAAATAAAGTTAGATTCCAATTCACTTTTCAAAATGCTTAAGATCACGGTATCTTTCGTCTTTTTTTTACTCTTTGATTTAAGTTTTGTAATTTGAATTATATTTTTTATAAATAGTCAATCCGCCCGAACCGCCAAGGCAAATCCGCCATTATTTGTCAACCGAACAGCCGATTTTTAATAAAAAAAATGACAAATTCTAGTGACACTTTTATCAATCCGCCATCCACCATACAGTTTCTATTTTTTTCTCAAACCACACCGACCCACACCGCGCACACCCCTAATCATAGCCATTAAATTCATCCAAACTTTCTAGCTTTATTGTCAGTTGTCATGATTTTTACTCTTTTGCCACATAAAGGCAAGCTATGGATGCTATTGCTTCAACATGATGGCGAAGAAAAAATTCAACAGAAGGTGAAGTTATGTTATTATTTACACATAGTATCACAATTTAATAATTAATAAATTATTAATTATCAATTCATTTAAATATAATAAAAGTGTTAGAGAAAAAGACAATTTTATATTCTTAATTTCATTTGTGGTCAGACTCTCCTCAATCAAGCATTATAATTGTTTTATAAGTGGGATGAAATTTAAATACAAAATTTATTATCTCTTTGATACAATATTATATTGTTAACTATTAACTTATTTGAAAAAAAACATTAATAGATAGAGGAACAATTTTAGTGTTTATGTCCTCAAGAATAATAAATTATCGCCTGGGATGGATCATTTTCACTATTAAAAGTTTACTCCAACACAATATGATAAGAGTATGATTCACTTTTTTTTTATTTTTTTTATTTTTTTTATTTTTATCAGTATAAAAAAATTTCAATAACAGCATGAAATTAAAGGTACAGGAAGATAACATTTATCGAGAGAGATTCGGAAAGTACAAATTACCCCTACTACTGCTACTCGCAGCCATACAACCAACCCCTTGGCCTCATGAATTTTTTTTTTTAAAACAAAAAGGTTAAGAAGGACTTAATTAGAAAATAAAATACATGAATCCCCACAAAATTAATCCACACACCCAAAAACCAAAAACCAACACCAAAACACCCAAGCTGCTCCTGCATTCCTCTTTTCAACAAACTAAAATTTTCTTTTTCAACACCCAAGCAGCTGCACTCCTCTTATCAACAAACCACACACTACTATTCAACTCGAATATTTTATTCACCCATGCTGCTGCACTCTCAATGCCCACACCACCCAAACTAAAAACTTCTCAACAACCCACCAAAGCCGAGACCCACGCCACCAAAGCCGAGACCCACGCCTGACAACACTCAACCACAACATCAAAAGCATTCCGTACGCTCCGTTGATCCAACCGAAACCGTTCCATGGCCGGAAAACTCCATAGCCAACAACTCCATGGCTGGAAAAAACTCCGCACCCAGCTTCACTTCCATAGTCAGAACACTTCTTTTATGATTCAAAACTCCGAGCACTCATTGCAACCGAGCACACCCAAGGACGATCAAAACTCACAACCACAACCAAACAAGACCCACTGCCATCTCCACTTCCATGGTCGGACACATCTTTTCCGATCCAAACTCCGAACACACCCACTGTAGAAGCTCCGATGTTGACAACCCAAAACATCGAACAACCACCGAGACACCTCCATACATCTGGATGAAGTTCAACCCTTAAACTCCCACTCGAATAGGAGCGCTCAAATGAAATCTTAGATAGATCTAGATTGACTTCAACACCTATGTTTCTCCCCAAACAAAGCACCGAAGCGACTCCATAGATCCAAACCAAAGCTCATCCTTCAAACTCCCACTCGAAAAGGAACGCCCGAATAAAGATCCAAACTAGATCTGAACATCCTTTATTCCAGTTCAAAACCGACCTCATTCTACTCTATTTTGACCCTTATTCCAAGCACCCCCTGTTAAAACAAAACATACAACCCCAATGCATCAACCAAAAAAAAAAAAGGGCAACAAACACCGAAAAGTTTAAGACCAGCAGCGCACAAAACACAATTAAGTGGGAAGACATTGTGGGAATCAAGTTTATTAAAAGCAAAAACCAGCACACAAACACAAGAGAGAGCTCGGCCAGCCAACCGCCATAGCCAAAGGCGGCGGTCGGCCGGCCAAAATTGAGGCCCGGGGGTGGAGGTTTTTAGAGAGAGAGAGGTTTTTAGAGGTTTTGTTTTTAATAGAACCCAAAAAAAAAAAAAAAAAACTTACAGTACATAAATAGATAAAACTTAATCGAGTTGAATATGTGACACTATTTCTTTAAGATAGATTCGTCCTTCCACTGGTGCTCAAGATTCAATGGACGTCTATCTCCCAGGATATAACGATCAATATCTTGCACTAGCAGCACTACTATTCCAAGCCTGGCGAACGTTGTTATGTATGCACTCTCTTTATAGGAAAATTAGACTCAAGAAAATATGAAGAATAAATGTAAAGATAAAGAAGAAAATGACAATTCTATATCCAAATTGAAGTGAGGGAGATGGAATTTATAGATTTCTCAGTGACCCTTCAGAAAAGTTGTGACCCTTCAAAAGGACACACTCTTCCATCTCAAGAAACACAACCATTGGAGTAAATTTAAATTCAAAATTTTCAACAATCCCTCACATGAATGAAATTTACGGAAAGGACATGCACCAACATGCAGACAAAGAAAGAGTACATTAAAGAAATACCCTACATGGGGATAAGTAACTTTTGACTTTGAACCTTCCGTAGTGAAAGCCTATCGGACTTACTAGCTAATCAGTGAACGTGATGCCTTGAACTGTTTAGCCGTTTGTGTAAGCCAAGACAATAGAATTCACACAGAATATCTCCAGACACAGCTTAGTTCTCACAGTTGTGCCCGTTTTGGCCTTGGGTATCTCCTGGTATTTCACGAGTGTTTTAGAAAATTTAACCTTATCAATTCTCATAGAAGCAGCCCCTTCACAATCATATAGGTGATCTTTATTTCGAGTTTATTAAATACTCCTCTTGAAAGATACCCCTCTAGGGTTTTCAAGATATAAGTGATCGTTAAAAGTATAGCTTACCCTAAGTCCTCTATATATAACTCATGTTGTAGATATCACTCTCATCATAAGAATGGATAGAAGATAGACTCCTTTAGTGATTTTTGGTGAGCCATACATAACTTAGTTGTCCCTTTGAATTTAGTTCTTGGGATCTCCAGTCATCTAAGTAAGGTTACCATTATGATGACTCTGATGTAGTAGGCTTTAATCACATTCCCCTCGATGAACTTTCCCTCATTTGCTCTTTGGTCAAACTTTTTGTTTAGCGGCCGCTTTTTTTCCGTTTGACCTTCTCAGTTATATATCATTGAGTAGTTAGTAGATTCATTATATTATCTTTAGACAATATTCACAACTGAAAACAAATGTCCTTTAGTATTAAGTCTTTGATTAAATCGAGACTTACCATTACTATATGTCACTTCCATTTTCAAATTTAAATAATAAACATAGAGGTGTTTCTTAGGAGTTAATGAAACTATTTTTTCTTCTACTCCAACTTTGTCTTATAGAAAGAATTGAGATTCTTTGTGGACCTACTATTGGAATCGTTACTTTAGTAAAATCCTCCAAACACCCCGCATTTTAAGCATTCTAAGGAAACTTATAATTTCTCTTGCTGATGTATAATTATACAAAAATATTAATACACCCCCACAATTCTGAGGTAAATTAGAATATATCATTAATTGGCGTGCTTGAACTAAATAACAAGATGTAAATTGCTTTGTAAATATAATCACAATAGTAATTTATCTAAAATACAATTAGACTTCATAACTTTCTTTTGCAATACAAAGAAAAAAATGGCTAATATCGGTTGTCGCCACAACACTTTGTCAAATAACATTTCTTTAGCCATGCGTTATTTCTTTTTGTTTACTGCAACCCTTAATTCCAATTTTAACATGGAATATAAATATCACTGTATAATTACATTTAC